TAATGAATATAAATTTTTTTTTCCTTTAGACGAATCAATTGAACCACCGAGACGAGTTCAAGCTATTGCTGATTTACAATCAAATACAGTACGTGTTTCATGGGAACCAATAAGTACAGCTCGTGGTTATCGAATACTTATTGATGGACGTCAAATATTAGATATAACTAATCCATTGAGTAGGATTTAATAATATTTACTTTTTTAAATTAATTGATTTTCTTTTTATATTAGATGATCAGACAGTTATAAATTCGAATATATTACATCATGGACGATTTTTAACTATTCGAACTTTAAATGACAATAGTGGTGAATCACGTGATTCAATACCCATCGATATTGATGACATTTTAAAAAAAGTACAAAAGAAATTTTTTTTTTTTTTTCTAGGCGTCCTCCTCAACAAAAACTAGTTTTCGTAGAGAACATGAAAATTAATTCTGCTTGAAAAATATGGATTCTTTTTTTTTAGATACAGTAGAAAATCTTTCTCACTGTTCATTTTTTTGAATCGCACATCTCAAATTTTCTCAAAGAACAGCCAAATAGTTTTTCTTTTTCGTTTGAAAGATCATATCTCAAGATACAGAGCATGTTCAATAAGCATTAAATCTTATTATTGAATTTCTTTTAGACTTCCTATTCATCATCAACAATTTCATCCGAACCATCAATACCAATTATTTCATCTACTTTATTAAAATCTACAACAAATGGAAAAGAAATATCGAAATCATTAACTCGATCATTAGAATCTCCTTCAACAATATCATCAATAAATACAGATATATCACAAATTGAATTAAATTCAACTATTCCTAAAACAATATCACATAATAAATCAGCATTTAAACAATATGATAATTCAGATTCAAATCGAATTCGAACAACAATTAATGAAAATTTTAATATAAATAAATCAACATTATCAGGAGAACAACGTTCAATTCCATTGACAACAAATAAAACTCTACGATTACAAAGATCATCAGCAATAAATAATCATTTACTTGATAAAACTAATACTCCACCACGATTATTTGTTGCTTTATTTGATTATGATCCACAAGCAATGTCACCAAATCAAAATAGTGATGAAGAATTACCATTCAAACAAGGACAAATTATTAAGGTTTACTTAGAGATCGATAATATTTATCTAAGTTTTCTAATAGAATAACTCAAAATAATTGTCTTTCATCATTATATCGAAAATTGATTTTGATTGGAAAAGGGAACTTAACACATATGACCTATTTCCATTGTATTTTATTAATGAATAGTTTTTCGTCCTCTGATAGAGAATAATATATATATATATATATATATTTTTTGATTTACTCTAATTTAGATCTATGGTAATCAAGATGCTGATGGTTTTTATATTGGTCAAACAGAAAATGGTCAGACTGGTTATGTTCCTAGTAACATGGTCTCAGAAGTAGAAGTTAGTGATTCGGAAAATCAATCAACTATAACTACCGGTATGATTTAAAAGTATTATTACGAAACACAATCTAAAAAGTATATGAGTAAAAAATCGTGACGAATATTGTTGATATATGAAACACAGAATGTAAATCAATAATGTCTCATTATAATACAAGTGTCATTCAAAAAGTT